TATCCTACCATTTAATATCCTTTCCTACTGTGTGAAGTGTTGAGATATAAAATATAGATGAGGAAACTGAGGCATATGTATTTTCATGAGTGGTGGTTGTAAGGGATGTATCATCTGCACCTGTCTGTCCCTAGACCTTGACCACAATGCTCAGATTACTCTTACCTCATTTAATCTTCACGATCTTATATGTTGTTTCTATTTTAACCCCATTTTTATGAATAAACTGGGTTTACAGAAGTTATGGTACTTGATCAAGATTACAGAGAGGCAAGATTTTAACTTGATTTCCAAAGCCTATGTTCTAGAACAAGTACCCTATATTGCCTTCAGGTTACAAAAGTATATTGTGCACATATTTAGGGTGTTTGTCAGGCACCACTCTAGGTATAAAAAAGAACATTACAGCCAAGATCAATGCTTTAATGGAGTTTCATTATAGTGGGGAGACAGACAACAAACAAATAAAAGATCAGGTAGTGATAAAAGCCATTAGAAAATAAAATAAATGGACCTGGGGAACCACTTAAGAGTGGTTAAAGGAATGACATTTAAATTGAGATCTGAATGAAAAGAAGAAAGTAGAAAGGCTAAATTCTGGGATTAAAAACATCTTCCAGGTAAAATATTTTAAGCTTTTTTATAGGTTCTTGGGATCATATCTCAGGGTGGTTTTTTTGTTATTGTTCTTAATTGTCATTGCATATGTCAAATTTATTTTTAAAAGTAAAATCTTAGAAAGTCAACTTGGAATAGAGTTTCCAGATTTAGCTAAGAAAGTAAATACAGACAGGCAGTTAAATTAGCATTTTGGATAAACAACACTATGTTCCAAATCTTGCATGGAAAATTAGCTATACTAAACAATTACTTGTTTATCTGAAATTTCAATTTAACTGGATGTCCTGTATTTTATCTGGCACTCCAAACATGAAAACAGAAAGAGACTATAAAATACTTTCTGCAATAATGGAAATGTTCTATGTCTGTGTTGGCAAATACAAATAGTGTAGCTGACAGCCACATGTGGCTATTGAGCACTTTAAATGTGGTTAGTTTTCTGAGGAATTGAATCTTAAATTTTATTATATTTTAATTAGTAGAAGTTTAAATTTAAATAGCCACATGGGCTTAATAGCAACTGTATTGGATAAGCAAGTTCAAGAGGAAAACAAGTATTGTGTCTTTAGAACGTTCCAGAAAAATCTAACAAGAAGTGCTGAGCCTAAATGCCATTCTAAATAAGCTGTCTAAAAATAACTTTTTTGCCTATAAAATATGAATTTAGACTAGACAGTCTCTAAGATCTCACTTGAAAATACTATACTTTTATGAACTGTACAGTCTGCAGGGACTGCACAATATACATTTTTTAAAACCTCAATGCTTAGCAGAGGGCCTGGCACACAGTGGATGTTCAGTATATGATTGCTGAAGTGAGATTAACACAATGGGACATACAAATAATCTAGCTTAGAGACATAAAGAATGCAGCATGTGTGTCATCCCCTCTCTTGTAGAATACACGTCAGGTATCACTAGTCAGCCATGCCACTCTTACTGATGCCACAGGCAAGCTTAAAACCTTCTTAACATAGGACTCTAAGTAGCTTATTGATGATATTGAAGACCTAGGATTAAAAATTATTTTCCATCTATATAGCTTGATCTACAAGGAAACTGTGACCTAGAGATGTAACAATTATCTTTGTATTTTAGACTCTCCACCCTGAATTTCTAAAAGGAACTATTTTAACAGATTTTGGTTTATTTATCTTTGTAACTTTGATCATCTTCTGATAAAGAATAGGGCTTGACTGAAGAGGTGAAACTAAAACTGCCAAAGGATGTCTGGTCCAAGAAACCTACACTCAAGTCCCACATCTGTAGCTAACTGTGAATCAATCATATCTGTTTTCAACTGCAGCATCCTAGCCCGTAAAATAAGGAGGTTGGTTTAGATGAATTCTAAGGTCTCTTCAAACTCTGAAAACTAATGTTCCTAGGTTTACTTTATTCTAAGAACTGAAACACCTGTGCTCCCTCAACATACTGAATGTAATAAATATGTAATAAATATCTGACAAAGAAAAACAAGAATAGAGCTTGAGGACAAATTTTTGCTATGTTTCTTCCTGAGGTATATGGTTGGATAGCTCACATATTCTTTTTTTTTTAAGCATTTGCTGAGTGAGCATATTGTCTGAAGGATGATCAAAGCATCACTTTTCTTTCTTCTTTTTGTTTTATATTCCCTGTGGATGCTTGCTATTGTCTGTTTTATGTGTGATTCCAGTTTTTATGTTCTTTTGTTTGCCCACACATTTCCTTTTTCATCATCTAGATCTTTGCTCCTTAAAATGTGGTCCACAGGACAGAAGTATCTGCATTACCTGGGTGCTTGTTAGAAATCCTAAATCTTGGGCCCCATCTCAGACCTACTGAATCCAAACCTGCACTTTAATAAGATCACTAGGTGATTCAAATGAAAATTAAAGTTTCAAGAAGCACTGGTATATGTGGCATTGCAATTGCCAGCTGCCCAGAGTTAGCATCCTGAAGTGGCAAGCTATAAGGTACAGTAAAAAAAAAAAAAAAAAAAACAAAGAAAACCTTCCGTCTTATTAGATATAACAAATTTTAGGCCCGGTATACAACTTTCCATTGTTAAGGGAGTCATGACTGGCTTTCAAGCAGCCATAATAGAGCTTGAATTTCTGCTGGTCACTGTGTTGGATCAATAATGAAGATGCTGATGGTGATAATTATAATAACAATATTTACAGTGTATTATATACCATACTAAGTGCTTTACATTTATTATTTTAATGCTTACAATAACTTTATCAATCCTCATTTATAGAATCCTATATAATAAAAGCCTAATATCCTAAGTGTCCAACCGTTCATTCGACTGTTCAACCAGTCACTATGACACGCACTGACCAGCAGGGGGCAGACGCTTCAACCAGTAGGTTAGCTTGCTGCTGGGGTCAGGCCGATCGGGACTAGGCAAGACCAGCAGGACATGCCCTGGAGCCCTCCCGCCACCCTCCCCAGCCCTGATGTGCACTGCTGGGGTCCCTTGGCCTGGCCTGCACCCTCTCACAATCCTGGACCCCTTGGGGGATGTCAGAGAGCTGGTTTTGGCCAATCCCCGCAGGCCAGGCTGAGGGACCCCGCCTGCCAGAGGGACCCCACTCACTCCACAGATGACCTTCGAGCTGCGGTGCCACCCCAGATGTGGCCAGATGGGGAGGGACCGTGGGAGGTTGGCTCCAGGGCATGCCCAGCTCTTCTCACCCAGTCCAGCCCCACCAGCCACCTTCTAATTAATTTCCTTTCAATGTGCATGAATCCGTGCACTGGAGCATTAGTAGATAAATAATTAGCAGATAGTTCTTTTCACCTTGGTTTTCACTACACAGAGGTTGAAAGCTATAGATTACATTTCCCAGACTACCTTGCAGCTAGGGTGCAGACATGCCCCTTAGCTGCTTCTACTCAAGACATGAAGCCATAAGTGAACTAAATGTAGTAGAAACCATGCTCTGGTCCATATGCAGAGATATCTGGTCCCGCATTTAGTTTCAAAGGCGTTGGTTATAAGTGCCACAGTGTTGTTGGGCAATTTTCCTGCCTGTGTTGTTTCTGAATGTGGTATCCAAGAATGATTTGCTACATCTTTCCCCAGATATTCTGGGAGCTGCTTAATGTCTTTTAATAAATTCATTTCCATTTACCTAGCTAGAGTAGACTCGATTGTTTGCCAGTAAAACCCTGGCTTGCATAGTAATTGAGATCATTTAAATTAACAAAGGCTAAAAAAATGACGGTAGTAAATTATAGCACTTGAGTATCCAGTTATCCAGGAAAGAAGGTGATATTTGAGATACTGTAAAGCAGAGATTTAAGGTTAATATTTCCTAGAATAGCAGTGATGAAGATGAAAGTAGTAGCATTATGTTAAAGAAATCAATAACTTTTAAGTTAGTTTTGCTGCAATTCTGAAAATGTACCATACCTAAAAACAAATGTGTATGTATGGCAAAAGTCAAGTAGAGAACCAAAATAATTATCTAGGCCAGTGGTCGGCAAACTGCGGCTCGCAAGCCACATGCGGCTCTTTGGCCCCTTGAGTGTGGCTCTTCCACAAAATACCGACTTCTGCGCATGGGCCACGAAGTTTCAATCACACTGTACATGCTTGCCCGCACATGGTATTTTGTAGAAGAGCCACACTCAAGGGGCCAAAGAGCCGCATGTGGCTCACAAGCCGCAGTTTGCCGACCACTGATCTAACCTTTTACTATTTGTACCGTAGAGGAACATCCCATCCAGCATTGCCTTTGCCTTCGCCCGCAGCTCTGCTCTTGCCTCTTCTGCACGCGAGAGACTAAGACACGACTTACGATGAGGTGCGGACAAATATCCCCCGTTTATGGCTATTTTTCTTCATGCTGAAGTCAGTATGCTTCTGTCGTGTATCTTTTTGATTGGGCTTTGGTAGGGTAGATAAACATGCCTCCAGCATCCC